TAAGTGTTGTAATGTGAGGCTGATGTTATTGTTATATCAAACAGGTTTAAACTGATTTGGCTATAAATATATTGGGTTGGTCATTTGTGATTGGTTGATAAATATGTAATGATTATTTGAAGAGGTGAAACTGAATTTGGTTTTTGTAATTGAGTAAATTTTTGTAAGTTATTGTTTGATGCAATATTATATATCAGATAGGAAGAGATTAGAAAAGTTAATATTAAGTTAAAACAAGCAGAAAATCTAGAAACTTTGCTTAAGTATAATATAAAGAATAGGTTTATATTATTTAAGTGTAGTAGAAAGATGATAGTAAAAAAATATTAATAATAAGAGATACATAAAGACAAAGTTATAAAGGAGGACTGTCACAAATCTTTTCTTATGCAAATAAAGAACAAACAAGACTTCCAAACTTGCTTGTCTTTTGCTTAGAGATTCCATTACAATATAACAGTGGTCCTTGAAGTCTTTATATCCTTAAGCTTATAGTATATATGACATATAAAGAGAGTATTGAATACTTCTTCTAAGAAAATTACTATAAAAAATTTTTTTTCAAGAATTAGTGATGAATGGGTAGGAGTTTTTTAAAATAAAAAATTTAAAGATAATAAAAATTTATATTATATACATATATAAAAAAAACTTTAATATATTTATTATAAAATAAATAAAGTTTAAAAAAGTAAAAATATAAGTTTTATTATAAATTATTTAAAATTAATAAATTAATTAATACAATATATTATTATTTTATAATTGATTGCTTTATATATATTAGTATTATACTTATTTTTTTTGTATAAGTATATTCAATTGTATAAGAAATCTTGTAGTTTGAAAATTCTAAAATTAATGTTAATATAACAACAAGAATTCATTGAACACTATTACAGTATATTATTATTTTGTTACTAGTTTATAAAATATTAATGATTTAATACAGTATTAATATAAAACAACACAAAAAAAGAACAGCTTTATTCACTCATTGATACTTTTATATCTAGAGAACTCTTATTTTCAGATATAAAATTAAAAAGATTATTATTAAAAATATATAACTCAAAATTGTTAGAATTTTGCCTAAGATCTATACAAACTCTTTTTCTATTTCCACTTTCAATTTGTTCACATAATTATGCAGAAAGATTATTTCTTGTTTCAAGGCTTCTTCTTGGATTAATCTGTAATAAAATCTATTAATACCCATTTTTAGAAAGGTCTTGATTCTCTGTATATGTTTAATAATTATTTTTTGGTCTTTCATCATAACAGTAAACAGAATTCTTTTATGTTCTTTATATTAAACTTGCAGTTTAAAAATTTTCTTTTAAAGCTCTGTTAATTGCTTCAACAATTTTATCAAAAGTTTTTGATATTCAAAATAATTATAAACAATAATGAATCAATAAAAAATCTAATGCAACCAATCATGACATCAGGATGTTAAACAGTACAAATTATTTTGTTGGTGCAAGGCATTTTCTTAAAGTTTCTCTGATAACATTACAGGTAAACTTGTAACAAGCATTACTTATACTTCTTAACCTATTCAAGTTTTTTTAATAATAACAATTTTAGAAAAAAAATGCCAATATGTTTTGCTTTTGAATTAATATATACAAAGTGATTCTGCTAAAACAACAAGGTTCTCTGATTATTAACTCTTATTGGCCTATATACTCTTTTGTAAAACAAACAAATTTAAACTAATCTGTCCTAGATATAACTTTTTACTAACTTATGCTTTATATAAAGAGGTACTTCTACATAGTGATACTATAACTACATATATTATATATCACATTGTTAAGAATATCTTTATTTATATTTCAATTATTATATACTTTATTTTGAATTTATATTTTGAACAGCAATCATAAAATTATATGTATATTTGTCTTATGTTCATTTATATCATAATATATATTAAACTAACAATTCAATACTATTAAATTAATAGCATATATTATATTATTCAACTTATTGATAAATGAATAATCTATAAAAATCTTACATACTATATGTAAAAACATATACAATTTTCTATTACTATAATACCAGTATTATCTTAAACTATATAATCAAGATATCAATTTATAGTGATATACTTAGTTCAAGTATAATTTGTATATATATTATTCAATATTATCACAAAATCTTTAATCACATAACTATTTATGATTTTTGTAATTACAGAATTAAAATCTACTTAATTAATCACATCTCCAAAAAATTCATGTATATAATTAGGAACATTTACAGTATATTTACTTGTTTAAACTTAAGTTAAAATAAAACAAGAAACTTAACTCTTAATGTAAATTCACTAATTATCGAAATTTGAGTATTATATCTTCTAAGAATAAATACATTATGTAATACATCTATTATAACCTTGTACTTTTTAATATATACATGTTGCAAAACTTTAATATGAATATTCTGAACAAAAATATTATGTAAAATATAAAATATAGTAAAAAAATTTGCTAAAGAATAATAAATTATTTTTTTAGTGCCTATATAAGATCATAATATAATAAACTTTTTAGTAACAATTGTAATATTGACATATTCTTAAGATCTATAAGAATATCTATATTGTTTTTGACAAATATGTTGTTGTAGGGAAAAATAATAGATAGATGATAGAAAATTATAAGGATAAGTATATCAGATATAAACAGTATATCAGGTATAATAGATATAATAAGTATAAAGTAAAAATATATATAAGTGACCTGAGAATAGTCAAAAAATAAGAAGAACCAGAATAGATACTGCACAACTGTTAAATAAAAATTATCTTTATTTGATAAACTATTGTCTTGTGATTGATCCCAGTGTCGCATAGCTAATAGAATTGCTGCGCGTGAAGTAACCATTGAGGATGCAAGATCGATAGACTGATCTGTGTCAGCATTATAAACTCTGGCCAAATTCACATATCTCTTTTGAACAGAAACTGCTCTGATCATTACATAGAGTGAGACAGATCGAAGTGACTGACTCATCATAATTTCATCACAACATTTTTAATGGTGACTGTGAGATAAAACATTACTAGCAATACTCGTTACCTTCCGATATTTTTTCGTGAACACTTTACATATTATTATTAGTGTGCAGAAAACTTATTTCGAACATGTAACACCTTTGACCTCAAGTAGACACAACGCAATACTCCCACACTTGTTACAACCAGAAATTTTAGTTATTTATTTTTGGTTTTGTTTATTCATGATAAAATTATATTAAAAATTTCTTTTTTTATAAAAAAAAAAAAAAACAATGAAAAATAAAATAAAATAAAATAAATGCCAGAGAAATAAGCATAATATACACTCGCCAAGATAAACAATAACCAGTTTCAACAGTTGATGAAAGATATTTTTCAGTTGATAGATGGTATTGCCAAACAGAACAGCATGAGAGAAGCTGACTATGTAAAAGTGAGGACGTTCACCAGAATCAAGGACAATGATCCAATAGAATGATTGAAGGAATTTGAGCAAATAGCAAAGATTAACAACTGGAACAATAACAAAAAGCTCAGAGTGGCCCCTGGGTATATGGTAGGATTAGCTGCCGACTGGTGCAAGGAAAATATAAATAAGATCAAGAAATGGGGAGACGATACGGATCAGACACAAAGTTTCCGTCATGTGCTAATAGAACATTTTGCCACATCAGAAAAATGCCATAAGTAGTAAAAAGAATTGAATGAACTAAGTCAACGAGCTGACGAGAAAGTAGACAACTATGCAGTACAGTTTAAGTACTTACTGACGAGAGTGGATTCAAAGGAGATAATTTCTAATAACTATATAATAAGAATATTCTTAAACGGACTAAAAGATAATATAGTGACATTTATTAATATAACATTTCCAAAGAACTTGATGAAAGTGATCACAGTAGCACAAAAGGTCAAGGCAGGGAACTATTATGGTTAGCAAACTACAAGGAAAGACAAAACGGTTGGAAAACGAGATAGAAAAAATCGAGAAACAACTAAAAGAGTTAATGTTGAACTATACTGACTTGAAAAGAATATCATGAAAAAAACTGAGAATGGCGAAAAGGAAGACTGTGGTATGTTACAACTGTGAAAAAAAAGGGCACATAGCTCGATAGTGTCCAGAGAAGAAAATACCAAAGAAAGCTCGGAAAACGACAAGTCCTAAGGTGCAGTATATCTATGAAGAAAGAGAAAAGAGTAAGAAAGATGACATAGAGGAAGAAAAGACTTATGTGTTAGGAAATGCCTTGCAAGTTGTAAAAAAGAGAAAAAAACCACCCCATCAAGATAAAGAAAGTATGGGTGAGTCTCCAAAAGCAACAAAACTTATAAGGGTACAGGAACCAATGGTAATTGTGAAATTTCCTGAAGCAACTGGTATCAAAAAAAAAATCAAGACGAAAGAGGCTGCTTTTAGTTGTGGATTTCCTGGAACCATATGATATCTTGAAAGACATCTTATTGATGAGAGCGAATATCACGTATGCATAGTTACTGAAATACTCCAATCAAAGACGGAACCTTTCGAAGATAATAAAGAAAGCTAAACTGTCAGAAGAGGTCAACCAGGTGAGCACAGCAGACACTTTGAGGACAACTGCTATCAAATATTATGTACAAGTGAGAAATAAAACAGTAGTAGTCATCCTGGACACGGGAGTGGCAGTGAGTATAATCACAAAAAAATTAGCAGATAAATTTTATCTAATGATCAATAAGAAATCTATTTCAGTTGTTGTCATAGTAAATAATATGAGAGAGAGAACTTTAGGAAAGGTAAAGGATGTAGGCATTACAATCCAAGAGGTAACTATCCTTGTAAGACTACAAGTCATTGAATCATGAGACAAAACACTTTTGCTGGGGACTGATTGGTTCCAAAAAGCGAAAACACGAATCCATTTTGACAAACAATAGATATTTTTAAAATATCAAGAAAAAGAGCTAGAGGTACTCATCTCGCACAATGGCATCGAAGAGTTGGTATAGCCAGATGAACCGGAGTTAAGTGACTACAAGAGTAGAGGCACGTATAATAAATTTGAGTATGAAAGTGAGGAAGTGAAAGAAGAAGAAGGCTACTATACTGGGAAGCAATCAGGAGAGGAGACTACCAATCAGAAAAGTGTAGTGGAAGAAACTACTGGTCAGGAAGAAGTATCCTCATTAGAGGTGAAAACCGTGGAAATAGAGATCCCTAGTTCCACTATATACTTAACCGTCCTGAAAGAAGTACTGATACTGGAAGAAAAGAAAGAGTTTGCCATTGGAGAACCAAAAATAAATATGGACAACCTAATAAAAGAAGAACAAGGAAAAGTAGCAAAACTCTTCGAGACAGAGAAAGAACTATTCACAGGAAATTTGAAGGAGCTTATTCAAACTGACATGATCCAGTATGAAATTGATACTGGTGACATAAAATCTATAAAGCAAGCCCCCTACAAGATGGCACCCAATGAATATGACTATATAAGGAACGAACTTACGAAGATAAAAAAGCAGGAACTTGTTATGAAATCTAGAAGCCTATAGACTAAAGATAGATCCCTAAATTAAAGACGAGGACATAATTCAAATGTCTCTTACTATTAAAAAAGTTTTTTTTAAATATAAGGTCAAAAAAAAAAAAACCACCTACAAAGGTTTTTTGCAATTTAGGCTACTTAATCCAAGTGTTTTTTGAATTATGTCCCTATTAAAGTAATAAATAAATAATTATGTCCCTTTAAAAGGAACATAATTGATCT